ACACAACAAACTTAACATTTTCCATGAGATTAGTAAAACGACAATGAACCGGTATATTTGTGATTGAACTTGACTAACAAGCAAGTTGTAAGAACACACACACACACATCACGTATAATACGTATAATTATATTTATATAGAGAGGCTGAAGTTACCTTGGCAGAAGACCACGATGTCGCATACACGGATAAAATATGTTAACAAGGCAGGTAAGGATAGCTGACCACATTAATCCTCAAATATTAGCCGATTTAATCTTTTAAAAACAACACTGATATAACTACATATATACACTACGTATACATTATTTTATAATGTAAATAAATCATTTTATGGTCTACTACAGTGGTTCCCAAACCTGTCCTGGAGGCCCCCGGGCCCTGCACCTTATCTAACACACCTGATTCCACTCATCAGCTCGTTAGTAGAGACTGCAAGAACTAAATTGGGTGTCTGATTAGGGAGACATACAAAATGTGCAGTGCAGGGGGTCCTAGGTTTGGGGTTTGGGAACACTGGTCTACTAATTACCAAAAATCACAGTTCTGTCTCTCCAACTCAATAATTGCCATAACATGAGTCACGTGACGATCGAGCGTTTTGGACTTCCGTTGACGCAACTCTCTCTTTCTGTGGCTCTGGTAATGATCTAAGCGAGCCATGCAAACAGGGTCAACGCCCCCAAACAACGGGACAACAAAGCCTTCATTGTGAAGTTTATTGATTTGTCTGCGCTTTTGGATCATAACACGTTAAGCTGTTTCCTTATAATGGACTTCTATGGGGGAGAACACTTAACGTGATATTATTCACTTTATACGCTGAATAAGTGTTTATTATAAGTAAAGTTTGACAGAAATTTGGTTTTCCCCGGTCGGTGTTGTGTTAAATGTTAAGCGTTTTTCACGTTAAGCGTTTTAGAATGTCCCGATGAATCAACCGTTTAAATGATTCGGTTCAATCGCAATGACTCACTTATTAACAGTGACTTGCTGCCATCTGCTGGCGGTTTTAATTTCACATTTAAAGTATCTTTTGATTTTTTATTTATTTTTATTGTATTAAAAATCGTGGCCTAATGGTTAGAGAGTACATGTCACGTCACTTTAAAAAAAAAAAAAAAAGAAAAGAAAACAGTTACTCTGTCTGCGACAGAGCCACTGCTGCAGATCACCTGAGCTCCGTGTCGGTGGAGATGGGCTCATTCAAGAAGATAGGTGAAAGTCAAAGGCAGAATCTGAGAATCAACAGAACTGGGCAGAATGAGTGAAAGCGATCTCCAACCCTGCTCCCGGAGAGCTCCTCTAGCTGGCTAAAGCCCGGGATACACTGCACGATTTTAGCAATCCTATAAGATCATTACTTTATCACACTGTGCGACATGGATCGTTTAAACTTGGGTACGACAAGCATGTAGACTGTACGATGATGACACCTATTGAATCGTAGGCTGCGACGGCTGCGACACACGTTAGCGCAACGTCATCAGCATACGCTAGTGGTAAACAAATACGGTACATCAAGATGGATCGCGCTTTGGCAGTTGTGCTTTTCACGTGCGCTGAAACAAAGAAGAGGCGCCGGCGGAAGAGGGCAATATGGACCCGCTCATGGCTCGGGAAAAGAGGACAACTTGGGATGCCAGTTTTGTACAGGGAACAGCTGCAGTTCCTCCGCGATCTCCTTCATGCTATGTTCTTTTTGGTGCGGTCATGATAGCAGCTAGAGGACACGTCGTACAAACATGCCCTCTGCTGCCACAACTCAACAAGAATGTGTTCTGTATGGGTATCCCACATACCAGTATACCTTCTACTTTTTTTGCCTCCATGGCATTGAAATTGTAGCGCCGCTGGTCACGTGGATCAATACGTCATTTCATGTTGCAGCTTCATTGGCTGCTGAGTAGACGCAGGTCGTTGCAGCAAACACACTGTGCGTTGATCATGCTGAATTTCTGACACTGTCAGAAAACTATCGTAGGCTATCTTTGGTCGCAAGACCGGGAAAACGCCCGTCTTTGAACCTCTCTCACTGTACGCCATAGGACCAGCGATTAAGAGCCACGATCACAGAAATCGCCACGATTGCTTCACGATGGCAATCTTTCGTCTGGGACAGCCAAAAATCGTGCAGTGCATCCCGGGCTTAAGAAACCTTGCTCTGTATTTTATGAATATTGTTGGCTTTTTGATAAAGAGCTTTAGTTCCTCTTTTGTAAGTCACTTTGAATAAAAGGCACACATGTGAATGTAAACGTGACCCTGTGCAGTGCGTTTGCTGTGCCTAACGAAGTTAACGTGTTTCACATGTTTTAAATGCTCAGGACAGCAGGGCAAGCTTAGAAAGTCCTGAAACAATCCGTTGAGGCAATATAGAAGAGTGTAGACATGCTGAATTTGATTCTGACTCTGCATCTGAGAGAAATAAGATGGGCATCAGCACACGCTCAGGCCTGTGGCGTCCATCTGAAACCCGAGAAACGTGTCCTTCTGTGCCTCTGCTGTCTAAAGCCACCGTATTCTGTGCCACACGGCTGAAGGGCTTTCTGTCCGCGGACAGCACCTTTCTGGTGACAGAGGACAGGAGTTTATGAGAGGAGACCGTTTGAGATGGTCACCTGCGAAAAGGCTTTCCGGTCATGATAACTGCAGATCGGGAGGATGATCCTGAAGATGTGTGTGCATCCAAATGCTCAGACAGCTCTGTGAGACCTGAGCTAAACGGCCAGCACTATAGTTTTCCACAGTGTGGCAGAAAGTGACGCTCCAGACCCTGCTCTCGTGGAGCTTATTTTCTCTCTGCTCTGTAACATGATGAAAGTGGACACTGCGCTCTTATGGCCTGCTCTCCCAACAACATGCCATTAATCATTCACGGGAACGTCTGCGGTTTCTCCCCAGCCCTCACTGCTGTGTTTAGTGTTCACGCAGGCGCTTTAAAACACAATATTCACTTCATGTATAATATCTCACTTCTAACTCTATCAGCAGTGTTTACTGGGATATTTGTTATATGTTAAAATATCCCTCGATGTTCATTAATGACCGTCACTGAGTCACGCAACACACGTGTTATAGGCTTGCATGTGCTCCTACAGTAATATTTGACGCTCCTTAATCGTCACATTCTGTTATAGTTTCTGTTCCTGTGTCTTCATAGTTTCTCTTTGGTTGATTGTGTTCACGTTTTAAGTTCCTCGTGTTCCTGTGTATTTAGTTCTGTCCAGTGCTAGTTTTCTTCTGCTGCTGCGTTCTTGGACTGCTTTCTCAGGTTTGTTTGAAAATAAAAATGAAACAGAAAAGGCAAACGGATCCTCATCTCCTCTTCCTTGCCTGCTCGCCAGAACATTAGTATAGCTGCTTCTGGGCTTATTACTCATGCTATGCTGATAATAATATCTTGATACTTTTCATTTTCCTTTAGAATGGACTGAATTATTTTCATTTATTTTACCAGGACAGTTCCACTGAGAATGACAAAATACAAATAAAAAAATACAAGGAGGAGGGGCTGAACAGCTCAGAGAGGTGCTAACGAACTAATTAAACTGAGTGAAAGTATAAGACGCATCTTATTGGCCCGCAATAATTTCATAGTGCAGAGAATAATTAAAGTTTAGGCTGTTAGCTTACTCCTCACTCAAAATATTTAAAAAGTTTTTTTTTTATTTTACATGTCTATTAATGTATACAATTAATTATAGGCCTATAATTAAAATGATGAACACTGCAGTCCTCAATGAAAATTAAGAGCAGCTTTATTTCGTGCACCGATTTTCAAAAACAACCTGTTTAACGCGAAATACATTTCTTCTCGTGTTTCTCTCTCTACGGGCCACAAGAGAAATATTAAGGGAATAATGTAAGACAGCGATATGCCGTTATCAGTAGTTTCGTCTCTCGTTGTCTCGGAGAATATGCGCCGATAATGCAGCGCTAGAAAGCTCCGTCAGTTCTTTACTCGAATCTCTCTCTCTGTAGCGTGTTGCTGGACTCCCCCCCCATAATATCATAATATCAACTGTTTATAGGTCACATATAGGCCCTTTTTTCTAAATTAGGTTTTTAATGTTTATTTTTCAATGTTAATGAAAAACTGAACATCATAGTAAATCCTTGGGGGGCTAAGCAAGTGTCTGGTGGGGCTATCCTTACTTTAAACAAGCAGGTTGCTTTAGCTTAGTCTGTAAACATGTAAGCTCTGTTTACAGCCGGGAGTTTCTGCAGCATTGCAGTGCTCTAGTGCAGAAAGAACTGACTTGAAGCAGCTCGTTAAGATCTTCAGCAGCAGTACAGATAACGAAGGAGCTGCTGCTGCTGGATCTGCTCTGATCACACCCGGTCTCCGCTTCAGGCGCGAGCTGCTCTCGGTGCTCGGTCAGAGTGCGCTCGCGGCCGTGACGTCACGGCGGTGCTCGGTGAGCTCGCGGAACGCGGAAGCGGAAGTCAGTGCCTGGAAGCTCTCCTGGGAAGAAGGTATGTGCTCTAAACGCGGTTATCTGTGGCCTGATTGGGGGTGACATTCTTAGTTATTACGTTATAAATTATACGTTATTTCATATCATTGACTTTTAACGTGAACGGAATGTGTATTTTGAGTTTCTTGACAATCACAAGTTCCCGTTTGTAGAGAGAGAGAGAGAGAGAGAGTGTGTGTGTGTGTGTGTGAGAGAGAGAGAGAGAGAGAGAGCTGCTTGTCCAGGGCGTTTCCAGAGGAAGTGTGCCAGTCCCCGGATGTGGACTACATGCGCAGTTTCAGGGGAAAAACAAATAATTGTGTCTTATTTGAGTAACGCCTATTTAATGAGGAGAAATGAAACTAAATGTAAAAATCATAGTCATCTGGAAAAATAATTTATTTTTTTTTGGCTGATTATTATTATTATTTCCCATTTTTATTGCGAATGTGGTGAATAGATTGGCAGGATTCCTCATCACAATTCATCTGTAAAATAAGTGCAAATGAAATGCATATACACAACAGTGTACACAACTTATTAAAGCAAGCGTGCTGATTGGACCGATACAGTCACAGTGACGCCAGAGAAGGTGTGTAAGGATGGCAGTACAATCCCAGATCAGTTGAGCTTTACATTCGATCAGCTTTCACATACCGGTTGTTTTAAATAACTTCCTCTTGACTGTTAACTGTCTCGACTCCAGTCTGACATCCACAATCTAGAAAGCAGATTGAACTGCTTTAACTGCATACTCGTCTTTGGCTATTTTAGGCGCTGCTGAATGTAGTGCAGGCGATTACTATAAATAAACCGTATTTGTAGTAAATATCTGTTCAGCGCATAACCGGTTTGAGGTGGACAGAGTGAACGCGGTACATCTTTGGTGGACAGTAGTGTTTGTTCACTTTACATCAGTGAATAAAGTCTTTTTATTTGTCGCAGATCATTTGGAAGAGACGAACATGTGGCCAAATCAAGGTGAGTTTTGCTTTCATGTTTTCACCAAATACATTCATTAATCATTTCTCAACGCATCACTGTCTGTGTTGTGCCTCAATCAGGGGTGTTCAGTCCTGCAGAGTTTAGCTGTGTGTGTGTGTGTGTGTGTGTGTGTGCGAGTGCATTAGTGTGCAAGTACGAGTGTGTGTGTGTGTGTGAGTGCATTAGTGTGCGAGTACGAGTGTGTGTGTGCGTGCGAGTGCATTAGTGTGCGAGTACGAGTGTGTGTGTGCGTGCGAGTGCATTAGTGTGCGAGTACGAGTGTGTGTGTGCGTGCGAGTGCATTAGTGTGCGAGTACGAGTGTGTGTGTGCGTGCGAGTGCATTAGTGTGCGAGTACGAGTGTGTGTGTGCGTGCGAGTGCATTAGTGTGCGAGTACGAGTGTGTGTGTGCGTGCGAGTGCATTAGTGTGCGAGTACGAGTGTGTGTGTGCGTGCGAGTGCATTAGTGTGCGAGTACGAGTGTGTGTGTGCGTGCGAGTGCATTAGTGTGCGAGTACGAGTGTGTGTGTGCGTGCGAGTGCATTAGTGTGCGAGTACGAGTGTGTGTGTGCGTGCGAGTGCATTAGTGTGCGAGTACGAGTGTGTGTGTGCGTGCGAGTGCATTAGTGTGCGAGTACGAGTGTGTGTGTGCGTGCGAGTGCATTAGTGTGCGAGTACGAGTGTGTGTGTGCGTGCGAGTGCATTAGTGTGCGAGTACGAGTGTGTGTGTGCGTGCGAGTGCATTAGTGTGCGAGTACGAGTGTGTGTGTGCGTGCGAGTGCATTAGTGTGCGAGTACGAGTGTGTGTGTGCGTGCGAGTGCATTAGTGTGCGAGTACGAGTGTGTGTGTGCGTGCGAGTGCATTAGTGTGCGAGTACGAGTGTGTGTGTGCGTGCGAGTGCATTAGTGTGCGAGTACGAGTGTGTGTGTGCGTGCGAGTGCATTAGTGTGCGAGTACGAGTGTGTGTGTGCGTGCGAGTGCATTAGTGTGCGAGTACGAGTGTGTGTGTGCGTGCGAGTGCATTAGTGTGCGAGTACGAGTGTGTGTGTGCGTGCGAGTGCATTAGTGTGCGAGTACGAGTGTGTGTGTGCGTGCGAGTGCATTAGTGTGCGAGTACGAGTGTGTGTGTGCGTGCGAGTGCATTAGTGTGCGAGTACGAGTGTGTGTGTGCGTGCGAGTGCATTAGTGTGCGAGTACGAGTGTGTGTGTGCGTGCGAGTGCATTAGTGTGCGAGTACGAGTGTGTGTGTGCGTGCGAGTGCATTAGTGTGCGAGTACGAGTGTGTGTGTGCGTGCGAGTGCATTAGTGTGCGAGTACGAGTGTGTGTGTGCGTGCGAGTGCATTAGTGTGCGAGTACGAGTGAGTGTGTGTGTGTGTGCGTGTGTGTGCGAGTACGAGTGTGTGTGTGCGTGCGAGTGCATTAGTGTGTTAGTATGAGTGTGTGTGTGTGTGTGAGTGCATTAGTGTGCGAATACGAGTGAGTGTGTGTACATTAGTGTGTGTGTGAGTGTGAGAGTGTGTGTGTGTGAGAGTGTGAGAGTGTGAGTGTGCGGGCGAGTGTGAGTGTGAGCATGATTGGGGTTGGAGCTGAACTCTGGTGGACGTTTTCCTCCAGGAGCAGCACTGGACACATTTGACCTAAATAAATGACAATCTTAAAAGGCTCAATACTTTTTATATTAGATATTTTTGATGAAATCCCAGAGCTTTCTGACCCTTCATAAATCCAATTTCAGTAATTAATGACAGAACGTTCATTTTTGGGTGGACTAACCCTTTAAAGAAGAAGGTTCAGGCAAAATCTGAAAATGTCATTTTTCTTATGTCCTTTACTCACCCTCATGCTGTTCAACCTGCTGTGACTGTACAGTATTTCCTTTCTTCAGTGAAACACTAAATTGTAAGTAGAATGGCATGAAAGCGGACGGTGATTTCGAATGCAGTGTCATACAGCATGGCCCGTTATGATGATGCTGTTTTGGAGTCTGGCATTTACAATCATCTGTTGTCATTTTATGAACAAACCTGTTTCGGCACAGTCTGGGTTGGAAGAGCATGAAGGGGATTTTCCTATTGTAGATTAGTTTTTTTTCTAAACCCTTCTGTGCATTCATGTATTGTTGTTTTTCGTCTCCTAGGACCTCCATACGCAGGACCTCCAGCCATTCAGCCGCCCAATCCTGCCTTTCCTGCACCTCCAAACCCAGCATATCCAGCCATGCCCATCCCATCCTACCCACCCGGACCCAACCCCGTCTATCCTCCCGGCATGAACCAGCCCTCAGCCATGCCTTACAGCACACCATACCAGCACCCCTTTCCCCCGGCTGTGACCGCGCCGCACGCGCCGTTCCCTGCAGCAGGACACCCCTGCCCTGTGCCGCAGTATGGGGGTCCCCCGGCCGGAATCGGCGCACCTGGACACAAGAAACACAAGAAGATGAAGAAGATGAAGAAAGGGCATAAAGCTCACAAGGAGCATAAACACATGAAGCACGGCAAGGTAAGAGGCAGCATCAAACATCACGCAGCTCCCTCATTCCTCACACAGGTCAGGCTGTTGAAGCTCATGTGTTGAATGGTTCAGTGTCTGAATGCTGTGTCTCTTGTGGTTTTGCAGCATTCCTCGAGCAGTAGCAGCAGCAGCAGCAGTGACTGACTGAAGAGCAGCTCCTGAACCGATTCCTCTGATTTCACAAGTGTCAGGGCAGAGCCCCGCAGCAATAACATGATAAACTAATGCAGTGATGTATAGCACTTAAGTAAATGTATTTCTGTGAGTCTGAATGCTTTTCTAATCAATTAACGATCTTTAAATAACGAGCTGTCCTTGTCAGGAGATCCGCTCGTCTTCATTATGTAATGTCAGACGTTTGCCTCTATTTGAGAACGGACCATTGTAATTAAACAAGCTCACTTCCTTTATGCATTAAACTTACTTTGAAGAGAAAAGTGCTCTTTCCTCTCTTCATTTTGTTGATTTAGAAAAAAATGATCAAGTGTTTTTGCTTGGATACATTTAGTTTTAACTGAGGAGGATTCTGACACAACACCCGTTTCTTTGTACATTGCTTTTTACTAACTTAAGCAGTAAAAGTGTATTGATTGAAGTTAATAATTCATGCAGCTGAGATAGATCTTGGTTCCTGTAGCCATGAGAATCATGCAGGGGTTGGCTTTGACCAGCAGTGGACTTGCTCCGGTGGTGTAACAGTAGAACTGCTGCACAGGTAGTTTGAATAAAACATGAAGAGAAGCTTGAAACACCTGACCATGCAATTACTTTGCCAACAAATCTTGAGATTCACACAGCTCGGCGCATTAAAATATCTCCTTAATGGCGCAGAACCAGATGAAGTTGTTCATATGACACACTGAGAGGAGATCTGACGCGTGGCACTCCGGTCCGCCTGCTGACGCTAACGCGGAAAACCCGACAGGAGGAAGAGGAAGAGTTCATGAAGGCGATCCGCAGCGTGTTTCTGATGAAGATGAGGATCGGGACTCATAACGGCACGTTTCACTGCGATGACGTTCTGGTGTGTTTCCTGCTGCGGCAGCTTCCGGAGTACAAGGTGCGCGACAGGAACCAGACTTCATCACAAACACAAACATATCGGAACAAAAGTTCTACTTGTCTGGACGTGAGGATGGCTCTTGGCTCCCGGGTCTCTTCCGTTTGAGCAGACTCTTTCCTCGCTCTTCCAGATATCTTAGGTACGTCAGGCGAGATGGTATAGCGTTCCCATAGCGATGACGTCATCACAGCATTGAAGTGAACCTATGAGAGGGAACATCTGGGTTAGGTATGTAACCTTGGTTCCCTGAATAGGTTCACTTCAATGCTGCGATGCTGGCCGTTCCTACTGATGAATCTGATGAAATAGCGCAGCACGCATATATGAGCATACGTGACGTATGCTTGGGGCGGTGCTAAGCGCTATTGGCCAATAAATTGGCGTGATGGTATAAGGGCTTCAGACATTCGTCACACCGGAGGTGTTCCCATAGCAATGACGACATCGCAGCATTGAAGTGAACCTATGAGAGGGAACACAGTCTCATCTGCACGTGCACGGTTATGTGAGTGTGTGTGTAACTGTGTGTGTGTGTGTGTGTGTGTGTGTGTGTGTGTGTGTGTGTGTGTGTGTGTGTTTGTGTGTAACTGTGTGTGTGTGTTCTCCTGGCTCAGTGAGATGTAGTGGTCGATGTCGGAGGAGAGTATATGCTCCAGCGCTACGACCATCACCAGAGGTACTCATACAAAACTCGCCGTAGATTGCGTCCTGAAAGTGTTTCCAGATTTATAAAGCCATGCGTAATCCCTTTGTAAACCCCAGTCAGGGGAAGACTGCCTTTAGTGTATCGGCAGTTTTACTGTAACCTCATCTGCATATCAGTCACTCCTTACGATCTCAACTTGAAAAGTACTCATTACATTTTTGCGTTTTTATTTCATCTTATGCACATTAAATATGATAAACAGAAGCTCAAAGGTGCTTTTGACGCGTGAGAACCAGTGATGTTTGTTTTCATGCATCAAGCACACATTTCAGCTTCAGTTTTAACTTCCATCAAGTTCAGAAGTTTGCCTTATTTAAATTATCATCACTGATTATAGTTGCATTCAGCCAATATATTACACCGTTTCCTCAGATTTGATAATTCATGTTGTGGTGGGAATGATTGTTTTTTTTTAAATTAAATATAACAAATCTACAAAAAAAAAAAAGTAAATCATGTGTAGTGATGCTCTTATTATGGAGTGGATCCAGTGGTATTATAATGATATATTGAGCAACAGTTAGGACTGTCAATGAATTAGTTTTTTTCATCTAAATAATTACATGCTTTGCTCATTAATTAATCTAATTAGTCGCAAATAATTATATATCAGTATTTGTTGAGAAAAACCTCTAAATGCACCAAATTAACAATTAAAAGATGAATTAAGTGTTCTTTCACAAAGTGAATGTTTGTTTTAGTTCTATGTGGCCTCTGCATCACGTCTGGCTGTTTAAAGGCAGACTCCATCTAAAACTGAAGACTGGAGATGTCCTCGCCCACACCGAGGGAAACCAATCCAACCTCTGCATCGACTCTGTACTGCGTCATTTCTGACTTATTACAAAACACAGAACAGTGTCTAAAAGCTGCTGTGTGACGCGCTGTACAGCAAACAAGATAAACCCAGACCCAGACAAGCTAAACAAGACATGGATTCATCAGTAGGTGTTGTTTGGGGTCACCTTCTCTGTGTAATGGTGTAGTTTTTCAAGCATTATCTTTGGACGTCCTGCACACTTGCATTACATGCAGAGAGATGATTTTCCCCTAAAACTCTTCGTCTGAGGACATGGCATGAGGGGGTACAGGATGGTGTATCTCTTTAAGGGCTGTATTTTAATTGTCGTTGCACTAGATGACTTGTACTGTTGTTTTGTTTTGTTTCTCACTTTAACCAAACCTTTCTATCTGTCTGACAAAACATTCTATTCAGTTTAATTAAGCAGTTTCATTTTGCATTGAGAAGGTGGTTCAACATGGAGAAATAAGAATCTCCTTTATTTCTTTATTTGGAGTACTTGTACTTTTTTAATATTCGAGTAAAACTTAAAGTTGTACTCTTTTACTTTTACTCAAGTATGTTTTTGGCTGGATACTTGTACTTTTAATTGAGTAGCATTTCCACTGAGTATCTGTACTTTCACTTGAGTATAATTTTTGAATACTTTTTACCCCTGTATATAATATCCTCCATAAAGAGTAAAAAACTTTGTCATTACATTGGTTGGAGAATAAGAAATATTTTTTAATATTATTATATGTCCTTTGTAGTGGACGCTAGGACTAAGTTATTTAAAAAAAAAATAGACATGAAAAGGCATGTTTAGACATTAACAATGATTAATTTTTTTCATTCACCAGTTTTTAGGTTTCAGGCTATTTTTAGCCAAATTTTGTACAAAGATGATTCTCAACTATAACAGAATGATCTGATATAATATTTTGTGGAATATGTGTGTAAAATGTCCATAAATTGATATTCCCATTTTATTCAATGAATCTATAGATTTGATTTAATTTGCATATTAATGTGTTCTTGGGGCAAACCGTAATGAAAAAAGAAGTGTAATAATGGGAGTAATAACTTGGCAACATTTTCACAAGAATATCTCAAATGTCGATCTATAATTTCCCCAAAATGCCTGATTAACATGATGTTTGTCCTACAGAAGTAACAAAAAGCCATATTCCGATTTGAAACCCCATAAAATATTTCTGAGATGTTTAGTTACGACAAACAATTTGAAAATTAGCCAGATTTAAATGATGAATTCAAAACATGATCATATTTCCCTAAGAGTGCTAAATCTGATCACTCTGTCAGTATCAGTCATATTTAAAGAGGGAGTGTTTATGATCAAACCTCTGATAAAGCCCTGACTGTGCTCTGAAACACTGCGCTCTCAGAGAAAGTCACTAAATATAATGTCCTACAGAGGACAGAAGTCTATGCCTGGGTCTTCAGAATGATAGTGATAATATATAACACTTAGGATAGTAGTACTCGATACAGTTGTTTACAGATCTCATCACCTCACATTCATATCATTGTAAATATAAACAGTTCAACAGACTCATTCAGAAGTGATATGCAATAGGTTATGGTTTTGTACTTCGAGATGAGGGCCTCTCTTGACCTGATTTACAGCTGAATCACTTTTCTGTTCAAATCTGATTCCACCAGTTAGGCTTCAAGATATAGCATTCGTCCAGCTGTAAACAATCAGCGACTGACGGTGAACTTGCTGAAACATCAAACATTAAAAGGACATTTAAAGACATGAAAGTATTAATTAATTACTATCAGCTGACCATGATTAACACCAAAAGCACAGATGAGTCTTTCGGCAGCAATATTATGGATGTTGTAAGAAAAAGTGATGAAGACGATGAAGATCTCGATGAAGATGTTTATTGCAGCATAGCAGTGACAAAGTACATGTAGTACCTTGGGTTCAACGGAGTCAGAATGAACCACGAACATCCTAAGCTCAAACATTTTATACTCAATTACGTTCATCTTCCCGCTTCATCTTCCCGCATGTAAATGAAGTTTCGTCTTAAATGTAAATTGTGGATAACAATGAAAGTGATAGCCTTCTGTTCCCACATCTTTGGTAGTCTTTCAGGTGGAAACAACCAAATGTTAAGGTGATAGGATTATCTAGAATCCCTAGCAATTATATTCAAGTACCCTTTTGGCCAGCAGATGGTTCTTGATGGCCTACTGCCGCTCCCACGCTATAGGTGACGATTGACGAAGTAACGTTCAGGAGATACTATTTACATATTATTGAGATTGGAAAGAATTATCTCTATGATAATTAAGCTCTTTGTAGAGAAAGGAGAATAGTTGGAGTGGAAGTTTGGTCGAGGCAGACTATAATTTCTTACAATGTGTTGAATATTACTGTAGTAATTAATATATGCAAGTCTGTATTATGTAACACATGTATGTTGCATGAATCAAAATAATCCCCGTTGATTTGGGGAGGAAAGCGAGAGGTTGTCAGAGCATTGCAGTGATTTTCTCATCAGTGTGTGATGCTTTCACAGCTTGTGTCCAGAGAAGCGCTGGGTGACGAAGCTGAGCTCTGCGTGTTCTGGAGCAGCACGAGCCGCAGCTGCAGCTCCTGTATGACCAGGTCAGTTCAGTCTCAAGGCTTTGAGCAGTACACAGACCGTGTCTGACTCCTCTCTGCTCCAGATGTACGAGAGCTCGGTGGAGGAGGTGGATGACGGGATCAGCCAGTGTGATGGAGAGGTGCGTTACTCGCTGGAACAGCTCTGACCAGCGCTTCTCACACTTTACACTAGAGTCACTGACGAGCAGATGAACTCTCCTACAAGACTCTTTATGATCAGCAGGTTTAGATTTTAGAATA